ATAAAAAAACTCTCAAAGAGCAGCACAAAGAGGTGTCCCAAACTAGTCATTGCTACCATATTGTGTGGCTGCAACTACCTGCCCTTCACAACCTGCTCCAAGGCACCTCGCCCCACTCCCTCCCTGGACTGTGAGCTCCTGGCAAGCAGGAGCGGGTCTGATTCATCCTTATATCTACCCCACACTTCCCACATAGAACTCGGCATGTTTCGAGCTCAATGAAAGTCTTGCAATTGACGGTGAGCGTGTATAAGCAATTATAGTAACTAATAAGCTGAATGATGTTTTCATGGAGGTCAGAGAAGTCACTGAGTCCGAAATGATCAAATGACAGGATGGGCTGAGAAAAGTCATGCCGGGACTCACTCCTATTCCCAGAGGCAGCTGAGCTCCCCTCTGAAGCTCGCTGGGGAAACATCCACTCCTCCGCACATGGGCAAAAAGATGCAGGCTTCCCCTCTTGTGATCACAGAGCATTCCCACAGCAGCAACTCTAGGAACGAACATGCAAGGGCTTCGACCAATGTGAGTTCGTGCTCTGTGAAATCCCAAGGCAGGCTAGTACTTCAACAGACACTACTGCACACAACAATTTTGTGAACCAGGTAAATGTGATTGGTCTCAACCTCACACTGTAGATGGAGGAGGCAGAGATAAGTTTGTTACTTCCCTCTGGTTAAATAGGAAACTACAAAACACAAAACAAAGGCATAATCCTGGATCTTCCAGAGTGAAATCCACCATGCATAGCTTTTCCTACACCACAACCATCCCACACCGGCCCCTGAGTAACCAGATGAGGAGCCCTGTGTGCACTCAGAGATGGGAAAATGCAAACCACAGACCACGGTGAACTTCCAGCGCAGCAAGCAGCATGGGCAGGGTCTCCTCAGAAGCTACCGTAGCATCTTAACAAAGGAGGAAGAAAGCTGCCACCCCTCCCTCCACATGAAACTGCTCGTCAGTGAGGACGGGTCCTTCAAGCTTGTCTGCTTCCCTTTCCCTTTCAGAGTCTTTGGAATTGATGTTCACACCACCCAATTTGGTCACTGACTCCCAAAGGGCTGCAAAGAAGTTTTTAAATACAACTTTTGAATCTATAGTACATTCAGAGGGTTCAAAAAAAATTTTAATGAAAAGCAAGAAAGAGCAAACCCTCAATACCAGCCCCATTTCCTTCAGCCTTGTTCTCACCTTCATTTTCCCACCACCACCTTGTTTACCCTGCTAGGATTTATTAACAGATACAAGCAAAAGTGAACATATAGTCTATCCCCTCCACCTTCTGTCTACCAAAAACGCAGCCTGCTGTTGAAGAGTGTTAGGTGAGCAAATCCTCTCTCTGCCGCTTTCTAGGACACAGGAGGCCTCTGCTGTCTCCAGTCCCTGCGTCCTTCATGCCAGCAAGCCCAAGGCCAGACAGAGGCCAGGCGATCGATAAGCACTTGCTGGAGGGGAAAGCCAGGCTGAATGGGCGAATCGATCTCTGGGGACAGTCCAGGGTGTGTGTAAGGCGAGTGCCTGCTGACTGACACCTGTGACAAAGCAGTCACCTTTCCTCAGAAGGTGGCAGCGTCCAGGGCACCTGCTCCTGGGGAAGTGCAAAGTTCAAAGGTCAGATGTCACCAGAGTGGTAATGGCTTCACCCTCCACCTTTTGGCAATGGGCAACAGCAGTACTCCATCCTCCTCTAAGTCACCAAAGAAAGAGCCTGGCTGCAAAGGATTCCATTGCTTTCTTTTTATCCTTAAAGTATTATTTATTTATTTAATTCCATTTGTTATTTTTTAATTTGGCCAGAGAGAGAGAGAAAAGGAAAATGAGAAAGCAAGCCACCAGATCCGGGACTCAAATCATGGTCAGCTGTATAGGAATCCAGCACCTTTAACCACCATGCCCACCTACTGGCTCTGCATTGCATTCTTTTTTTGTATAATTATTTATTTATTCATTCATTTATTATTATTATTATAGTTTGACCAGAGAGAGACAGAGGATGAGAGTGAGAGAGAGAGGGAAGTGAGAAAGCAAGCCACCAGATTCAGGACTTGAACCCTGGTCGGCCATGTGGGAGTGTCCAGCACCTTAACCACCACGCCACCTGCTGATCCCTGCACTGCACTTTTTTAAAAAACAAACAAACAAACAAACAAACCTCTGAGAGTTGGGCCTGGCCCTGAGTACTTGTATTTTTTTTTTTTTGGAGAGATTTTCACTATAGGGCGCGTGTGCTCGCCAGACGGACAGAGAGAGACATAGAGACAGAAAGCAAGAAATCACCCCCTAGGTGGGATGGTCATGCCTCAATCCCTTCTCCTCCATTCTCCTCTCGGGATCTTGGGCACACACACACACGCGCCCGGCGTGAGTTTTAAGCCACCATGTCCGGGACGTGAACCGCGGTCGACTACATGGGAGTCCAGCGACAGCCATTATGCTAACTGCTGGTTCCCTGCATTGCATTCTTAAAGAGAACAAAGATGTTCAGAGATTTAAGCAGAAATGGATGATCCTCTTTCAACTCCCTGGTTTCTTGCTTCTTTGTAAATCACCCCAGAGGGCTGGAGACTGTTCTGCCCCATCTAGACGGTGACTTGACCCAGCTTTGAGGACTTGCTGGTAAGGGAGCCCAGTGGTGAAGGGGACCTTGAGCCAGAGGCTAGGAAAGGCACCAGAGGCTAGGCTTGGCACCAGCAGTGGCTCCTGCTCACAGGTGGTGCAAAATCAGTGATGGAGAAGGGGGTGTGCACATTGCCAGCAAAGTGGACTAGTATTTTGGGGAAGTTTTAATTTGCTTCAATTAAAAATTCAGGGCAGCTCCAAGCGAAACAGAAGTAGGTGAATTTATTTTCTGAGCCTCTGCACAGGCTGCTCTGGGCCCCCCACCCTCTGCAGGCCCGTTACCAAGAGACCCAGTCTCGCGTTCTCAACTGGCAGGTTCCAAGACTCACATTCTCCCTCCATTCTCCTCAAGGCCAGACCAGGGCCCTGCTGTGCAAAAATTAATCTTAAAAATCAATCTTTTTTCTTGTAGTTGAGTGGTGTAAGTAATTACCCTTTTCCAGGGAAAATACATATATGGATGTACGTGCACTGAAATTTCTGGATACAAAAAGTAACAATGCTCAGCTCTAGAGACAGGAGGTAGGGGCTCAGGGATAAGAGACCAACTCACCTCTTACTGCATACCCTTAGGTACACTGTAAGTTTTTCCGTGTGTTTATTGCTTATCAAATAAAAATAAAAGCTTTTTAATGATCTCTTTTGATTTTTTTAAAAAGTTTCTGTCTTTCTTGAGCAAAGAATTTCATACTGACAGAAAGATCCCCAGTGGGCTCTTGAAATGGTGATGCACCCCCAGCTTCAGTCAGCCCCTGACCACGGGCACACACGTGGCAGATGTACTCAAGGTCTTTGGACATGGACCAGGAACTTTCCCACGTAGGTCAGCCTCAAAGAGCCTCGAGAGCTCGGCCCTCGTGGCCAGCAGCTCCAAGCCCACCCTCTCCCAGCCCACACTTGTCCTGTGGTGGTATTGGTTGCTCCAGCGAAAGGCCAGGGCTGGGTTCTCGTGAGCATTCCTGGACCAGTACCACAGCCAGACATGGAGGCCACCTGTAATGGAGTGGGGCGGCCCACCCAAGACGGCTCGGTGAAGCTGTCTGCCAGAAGGCAATGGCTGAAGGACGGGGTGCCAATCCTTCCCCTGCCACAGCCAGACTTCACATACCCTCTCCACCGACACCCTCTACAATGGCCTGAGGGCCCCACTAGGTCCCAACTGAAATCTGAGTGAGAACCTCACTGACCCAGCTGTTTGACAGTGACCCCTGCCAGGCTACATGAGAGTCACTGCCGGCGAGTCACTGGGTGCTTATGGGTTAATTCTACCTGATCCCATAAGCTGGGGCCAGAGCAGAGATGGAGACAGGGTCTCACAGTACAAAGAAGGCTGCCCACTCAGGAAGGGGCAGTGGCTGTCAGGCCTCATGAGTGATGCATGTAAGTACCACCCATGACATCTGGAATGGAAACCACTTTATTGATACCTGAGAAAAAGTACAGAGGATGCATTCCTATTGGCCACTCAGCCTGCCCCCCGGGCCAGCCATTCCTCCCTGCCCTTCAGCCAAGGTCACTTGGGGCCTCTCTGGTCAATGCCCAAAGCCTGGAGAAGTCCACAGCCAGGGTCTGGAAGCCAGAGCCAGAGACCAGCAGAGCGAACATCTGCAGCGTGGCTCCTGAGGTCAGGGCCAGTGTCCGTATGGAAGCCTCATCGGTCAAGGTCTGGAGCCTCTTGAGTTGCAGTCCGGAGTCTGATGGAAAACAGCTCCTCCCAGGGCTCCCGGATCCGGGCCAGCAGGGCTGTCAGCTGCTCCTGACACACAACACGGAGCGCCCAAAAACTCTCCAGCCGAGATACCTGGCAGACCAAGCAGTCACAAAGTGAATCTCAGAGGGGGCCACATCAGGGCAGGGACAGAGGTCTCAGGAGAGGACTCACCTCCTTGGCTCATCACCTCTTTTCTTCCCCAAGCCTATGTCACTCCTCATAAAGACCCTGATTCTGAGTTTCGTATACAAAACGGATTGACACTACCTCCAGGGAACGTCATGGTTAGTATCTCGTCTCTAGCCTTGTCACCGAGAACACAAGTTCTGGAGTCAATTCCAAGGAATTGTGTGGGCTCATTTCCCGGCTCTACCACTTGTGAACTGACCAGCTTGGTTAACGTCCCCCAACCCTCAGCTTCCACATTTGCAAAACAGGGCCAATAACAGCACCTTCTCAGGTGATGGCACACAGCCGGCCCAATCATGCCAACCCCATGGTCTCACTGAGGCTTGTAGCTAAAAAAACACTGCCCCCAGGCCAGCAGGTGGCACAGTGGTTGATGCAGCTGAATCCTACATGGCTGACTCCACAGTTGGAGTCCCAGACCCAGTGGCTTGTAAAGGGGAGCACGAATTTGTACATGGTCGTTGGGAAACCCATGACATCTGGAATGGAAACCACTTTATTGATACCTGAGAAAAAGTACAGAGGATGCATTCCTATTGGCCACTCAGCCTGCCCCCCGGGCCAGCCATTCCTCCCTGCCCTTCAGCCAAGGTCACTTGGGGCCTCTCTGGTCAATGCCCAAAGCCTGGAGAAGTCCACAGCCAGGGTCTGGAAGCCAGAGCCAGAGACCAGCAGAGCGAACATCTGCAGCGTGGCTCCTGAGGTCAGGGCCAGTGTCCGTATGGAAGCCTCATCGGTCAAGGTCTGGAGCCTCTTGAGTTGCAGTCCGGAGTCTGATGGAAAACAGCTCCTCCCAGGGCTCCCGGATCCGGGCCAGCAGGGCTGTCAGCTGCTCCTGACACACAACACGGAGCGCCCAAAAACTCTCCAGCCGAGATACCTGGCAGACCAAGCAGTCACAAAGTGAATCTCAGAGGGGGCCACATCAGGGCAGGGACAGAGGTCTCAGGAGAGGACTCACCTCCTTGGCTCATCACCTCTTTTCTTCCCCAAGCCTATGTCACTCCTCATAAAGACCCTGATTCTGAGTTTCGTATACAAAACGGATTGACACTACCTCCAGGGAACGTCATGGTTAGTATCTCGTCTCTAGCCTTGTCACCGAGAACACAAGTTCTGGAGTCAATTCCAAGGAATTGTGTGGGCTCATTTCCCGGCTCTACCACTTGTGAACTGACCAGCTTGGTTAACGTCCCCCAACCCTCAGCTTCCACATTTGCAAAACAGGGCCAATAACAGCACCTTCTCAGGTGATGGCACACAGCCGGCCCAATCATGCCAACCCCATGGTCTCACTGAGGCTTGTAGCTAAAAAAACACTGCCCCCAGGCCAGCAGGTGGCACAGTGGTTGATGCAGCTGAATCCTACATGGCTGACTCCACAGTTGGAGTCCCAGACCCAGTGGCTTGTGCAGGGGTGCCCGAAGTCCCAAGGGAGGACTGGAGGAGAAGGCAGCCATCTGTCCTCTGCCCCTGAGAGGTGACCCCTTACTTTCCCTCCCTCTCCCTTTCTCTCTCTCTCTCTCTCACACACACACACACACCTCGTCGTAGAAGGCCAGCCGCAGGTCCTCCGGGGCCGTGCGGTAGAGCAGCACAGAGCTTAGGCTGCTGAGTGGCTGCTGCTCCCTGACACATACAGCAGGGCCTGGCCCCGAGGGAGGGGCCTTCTCAGAGGCTTCACCAGATGCTGCTGGAAGAGGGGGTTCTGCCTGGGACCCTGCAGGGCCCTCCTCTAACAGGTACAGGGTAGACAGCGTCAGCAGCAGAGACACAGGACACGTAGATGAGCCTGGAGGGAGAGGTGAGGTGAGGCCTGGAGCCCTGGGGGCCAGTGTCGCAGTGCTGCTCAGGAGGAGAACAGGCAGAAACCACATTGGAGGGTGGGCCGCAAAGCAGCCTGTGCCCTGGGGCCAAGATCCTCATGTCTGGAACTCCAGGGATCCAGACTTAAAAACCTCTGAGGCCTAAGAAAGGGAACTTGCCCAAACACCCACCCCGCTCAGAAACAAGGGTCCCTCAACACCGTCTGCCTTGCTTCCCGACAGGATGTGGAGCAGACCCAGCCAATGGGCTCCACTTTGAAGGTCCACACTCAATGCAAAGGATGCCTCTGAGCAACTGCGGATGCAGGGTACCCCCTGGCCCCGTGCAGGGCACAACACCGAGACTCACTGGGCATGCCCCACCTGAGAGGAAGCCGATTCCGATGGCCAGTTGCTACTAGGGCAGCACAGGGCACTGGGCCAGTGCGGGGAAAGACAGGAGCACCTGCAGCACAGGGGCCTCACCTTCAACCAGGAACACCCGAAGGTAAAAGAACTGGGGGGCTTCCAAGGAAGAGTCTTTTTCCAGCAATGGCCTGGGGGAAACGGCAGACACAGGAAGAGGGTTGGCCAGGGCAGGAAGTACTTGGAGGGAGGGAAGTGGGGAGGAAGCACTGGGGCCGGGTCGGGAGAGGACACAGGGCCCGCAGAGAGGGGTGGGAGTGAGGACAGGTGGCAGCCCAGGACAGTGCCTGAGGCTCTGTGGAGAGAGGGCCTGGGCACCAGTCTAGCCTTGGCCCCCTGGCGGCTCACCAGAGCCGGTGCTGTGGGGTCACCTCCTCCTCAGTGGCACTGATGCAGTTCCTCCAGGCAGGGGGCAGAGACTTCAAGACATCTGAACAGGGACAGGGACCCTTAGAAGGTCCTGCTTCTCTCTATCCCAGCCTTTCACTTCACAATGCCTTCCCATCCTCCGTATTTCGTTTTCAGTAATTACCAAGGACAAATCCTCTTACCATTCTGTCTCCACTGCTGGGTGCCAGACTTGCGGAGCTTGGCCCAAAGGCCCCACCCCTCCCTCCCTGCCTCTCCCTTCCCTCTCTCACCAATGAGCTCTTCCAGGAAGGCCCGGCAATGCTTGGCATCTCGGGGCAGCAGCACGCAGCTGCCCGTCCCAGCCGCCCACTCCAGCTGCAGGCTCTGTCCGGCCAGGCCCAGCTCTATGCCACTCAGGTCCTGCAGGGGAATGGCTAGGGTGGGCTGTAGCCAGCTAGCGGGAGGCCCGCTGTGGAGAAAGAGGGGCAGAGGGAGGAAATCAGTAAGGGTAGGAGGAGACAACAGGGAGGCCTGACCCTGGCCTGGCCATGGTCCCGGCTCACTCACCAGATCTCACCTGTCACCTTCAACAGGTAAAGCCTATGGTCAGACACAACCACAAGGCACAGAAACTCTCCAGAGTGGCCTGTCATCAGTACTGGCACCTACACAGAAGGGGAAGTTGATGAGAAACCAGAAAAGACCCAGGAAGGTGCCAGACTAAAAGCTGAATTACTTGTAAGAGCACCTTCGGCCCAGTCCGCCCTGCTGTCGAACCACAAGTCCGTCAGGCTGACCTTGAGCTCAACAGCGACCCACACACCACCACTCTCTACTGCACTGCCCAGGCCACACTAGACCTCGGCAGCCTCTCAGCTGGTTTCCAGTCTGTCATCACGCCCCTCCACTATCCCCACTCTGCTAGACTACTCTAAAGCACAAAGCTGATCATCACCCCCCACATTAAGTCCCTCCGTGGCTGCCAGCAACCTTCGGGATCAAGTCTGAACTCCTCAGCAGACTCCCGAGGCTGCTCCCGACTGGCCCTGCCTGCTTCTCAGCCTCCTCTGGGCACACGGGCCACCCATCCTGCACACGCTGGCTGCCACCTGCCAGCTCTCCCACCAGCCCTGTTTGCTTGCACCTCCCACACAGCTGCTTCCATTACCCACACGTGCTTTCCCTCCCCACGCCGAACTCTTCCTTCAGAATTCGCCTCAGACATTGCCTCCCAGGGAGGCTTCCAGGCCTCTGCAGCCTAGATCTGACACCCCTTCCAGACCTTATCCTATATTGCCTGATCACTGTTGGTTTCTGAACCAGACAGTGACAGCGAGGGCAAGACTGACTTACTGGAGATCCTGAGTGTCTAGCACACAACAGGTGCTCAACAACGAGGGTCAACAACATGGCATACTTAAAGCAGCGAGGCCCGATGAGCAGCAGCAGGGCCATGCTAGGCAGCTCACAAGCACGAGCTCTCGGACCACCAAACCCCAAAGTCACAGTTATGGTCATCTCCAGTGCAGTGGGGTGATGACTGAGACTCTCATAACCAGGACATGCAGCACTAGGGGCCAGACTGGAAGCCAGACCCAGCGGGTCCCGAGCATGAGCTCAGTGTGCTGCTCTGCGTAGGGACACGGGCAATGCCAGGTGGCACAGACCTTGACGCAGCACTGGAACTCCTCGTGGGCATCTCTGAACACCTCGACATCCAGGAAGAGTCGGAGCCGGTGGTCCACGGAGCGGAGGCCATGGCGTTCAGGGGCTGGGGACAACGGGGCCATCAGCTTGGCCCCAGCAGCCCACAGCTCCATCTCTTCCGGGATCCCCAGCAACACCTCTTCCGCCCCCACACCCACCCCCATCTTCACCTCTACTCACGGGGACTGAGGCTCCAACTGCTGCGGCCACGGGAGGTCAGTGGCTGGGGAGGGAGGCCGTCAGTCCTGGTGTGCTGGTCACTGTGGCCAGGAGGGCCGCTGCCAGGGCTGGGGGACTGAGAGGTAGCTGGAAATTGCTCTTCCTGTGTTTGCTCCCTACTGGGGGCTCCCACACACTGAGCCAGGAGAACCACATGGTCGCTCCCACAGTTTGGACACACAGTAGGAGACTCTGGAGAGAGTGAACACAGTCCCCATGAGCCTCTCAACACAGCACACCACCCCTGACACACTCGTCATGTCCCCCACACACTCTTGATACACCCCTGTGCCCTCAACTCCGGCTTCACACACTACCACCATCCTCCAAGCCCCCCAGCTCCCTCTCCAGGCACAATGGCTGACCGATCACTCACTCCCACTGTGGAGGGCTAAGTGGAGCTAACCCATGGCCACAACCTCCTCAAAATACACCCTACCTTCTAAATTTGAACCCTCTAAGATTGGGTGAAACTCAGCCAGGCTGCTCGGTTTCCCTCCCACAGCCTTGGGCTCATCAAGTCCTTGGGTGCTCTACCAGCAACATCTAAAAGACCAAACTCGGGGGGTGGGGGGGACTCGCGCCAGATTTGGGTCCAATTCCAGGCTTCATCATTTACCAGCTCTATAATCACAGACCAGTCACCTAGGCTGTGTGAGCCAGGTTCCTCACTGTAAGATGGGGCGGCATGTAATAGTGCCAATCTTACGGGGTAGTTGGGGTGACTGAACAGAAGCCCATAAGGAATTCAGGACATGGACCAGCAGGGAAAGAAGAACCCCTCTGAGCAATGTGCTAGGTTTACGCTAGGTCCGGTACCGGGCTCTCCACACTCTGTCCCCATCGAATTGCCCTATCCTGGGGCGGCCAGGTGGCATGGTGGTTAAGGCACTGCACTTCCACATGACCAACTGTGGTTCGAGTCCCAGACCTGGTGTACTTTCTCGCTCTCCCTCTCTCTCTCTCTGTGTCTAAGTTAAAAATAATAATAAATAATAAAATTAAACAAATTAATTCTTTTAAAAAATTTTCTCCCTATCCCACTTTGCAAAGGAGGAACGAAAAGACTGAATAATTTACTCACTCTACCTCAGACCATACAGCTGGGCGCAGTGACAGCTGCAGCCATGTATGGGGACCTTTGCTCATGCCAGGCACTACGCCTGGTGCCTCACTGTCACATTTCAATCCCTCAACAGTACCACGGGGGGAGTTCATTCTCTGTTCTCAGATGACGCAGCTGAGGCTCAAATGAAAGGAATACTCATTGATAATGTCACCACAGAAGGGACCCCAGAGGCCACAGGACCCCATGACGTATGGTCCAAGCCTAAGAGAAAGTGCTGGGTGTGCGGAGACCTGCTGCTGCCCGGGCAGGTTCAGGGTGGCGGTGGGAGCAGGGCTGCATTTTCTGAATAAAAGTTAAAGCCTTTTGTAGGGAGTGGCCAAATCTGAGCTGATCAATGGTGACCTTTAAAAAGAAGCAGAGCACAGACTCACTCACCTGAGCCCATACTGCACAATCAGCAGAGGGTAAATGAAACTTTTGGCCAGAGGAAGCCAGGTGGGGTTATTTAGAACCACGGGACACAAGCCGCTCCACAGCTGCAGTCAACAGACGACCCCTGGCTTTACCTTACAACTCTCCCACCCCCACTGCCCTGTAAAAGAATAAACCTGAGAACCGCTCAGGGCCACGGCATTCTCCATCAGGGACCCCAGGACCGCCCGATCCCCGCTTTTCTCTCCTAGTGCATCTGTGTGTCTTTTCTAAATCCATGGCCATGCCCACTTGGGGTCTGTCCCACCGCCACCCCCGACCTGCTTCGTTGAGCTGGGGCACCTTTCTCTAGCTATTGCTAAGAAAAGTGGCTAATAGGCACATCCGGGTGATATGGGGGTTAAGGAGCTGGATCCCAGATGGACAGCTGTGCGGTTTGAGTCCTGGACCCAGCCGCTTGAGAAACATGCCAGGCACATGTGCATGCACACCCCAAATCCTGAGACGGGAGAAAAGGGACTGCAGTGTGGCCATCCCCCCAGGGGAGTGCTTTCTTACTTTCTCTGTCTCTCTCCAGCAAGTGCATGCACCCTATAGCAAAACTTAAAAAGAAAACAAGTGGCTGAAACATTTCATGTTTTGTGCCACTGTTATCAAGAATATTACCTTTTGTTCAGTGTCTTCAAAGACATCATTTTCTGACTGCTCAATAGAATAGAAAACTCTTGTGAAAAACGGAATACAAAGAGATGGGCCACAGGCACCATGTGCTATCAAGTTGCTCAAGGTCAGCCGAGCAAGGCCGCACCACGCCAGCTCCCAGCACCTCACACGCGGCCCCGCGTGCAGACAGGCGGCACTCCAACCTGACCCTGCGCCGAGGGCGTTTCTGAGATCAGCCAGAAACCCAAAGGCCTTAGAGTTATGAAAAAATAATGAGTGTGTTTAAGGACACTTAGAGATTGCATTTGCAGAGATTGCATTTCCTGACTTTTAGAGGAAAAAGAAACCAGGATCTAGTTTCTTCTTTCCTGTTTTCTTTTTAGTAAATGTAGCAGGCAGAGTTTTATTTTTCCTCCTAACAGAATAGTTGGTCCCCTCACCTCGTTCCTTTCTCCCTGAGGCCACTCTGCACTCCTCTACTCAAAACCACTTTCCCTGTGAAAGCAGAGGTGTGTGGGCAGGGAGGTCAAGGGCAGGGCTTGTACCTGTCTTTTGGAAAAGAGGCCTCCAGCCCTCCTCACTGTCTAGTCCCAACCGGGGCTCCTCTGGCTTGAACTCATGGCCGCAACGCAGACACTGGAATCTCCCCCCATGCAGGTCCCTGGCTTCCCCAAGCTGACTCCGAGCCGTGGCAGTGACCCGGGTCAGCACAGCAAGCAGCTCCTGAAAGAGGGCAGGTTGGAGGCAGCTGTGAGCGGCTGACTTGGACAGACACCCCTCATAGGCCCAGGGCCTCGTGTCTAGAGTCGCCCTCTCTGGCTCTCCCGATCTCCCCAGGGCCTCCTGGCCCATCACCTGGACGGCTGCATGGGCGTCAGGCTCGAGCACCACGTAGCGTCGCAACTGTCGGTCTTGGCAAATGTAGGAGAAGCGCAGAACGAGGATGGGGGCCCCAGGGAGCAGACGTGAGCCCTGCGCAGGACAGGAGAACCAGGTGAAAAACAGCAACTGGGAGGTGGGTGCAGGTTGGAGAGATTCGGGCTGAACTGGCATCCAAGCTTGGCAAGGAATCCCCACTCCTCACCTCCGCTGAGATGCCCACACCGTGCTTCATTCCCGAAGCTCCCTTCCTCAGCAACAAGCACCAGCGGGAGACAGAGACACACCAGACCAGTGCCTGGCACACAGCAGCCACTCTTAAGAGCTCCCCAAAAGCCCAGCACCTCTTCCAGACCCCACACCCCACCCACCTCAGGCACTGGGTCTCCCTGGGTCTGGGGATCAGGCTCCAGCTCTGCTGCCTCCAGACTCTGGAGCTCCAGTCGTTCCAGGGTTCGAGCTGCTTGAAGTTCCACTTCAAACAGGTGGGCCGAGGTGACCCGGAGGAAGCACTCCCTGCCCCGCACACCCTCCGGCCCTTCCAGGGGACACACCAGCATGGGACGGCAGAGCTCCGCTGCGGAGAGACCAAGGGAGGAGGTCTGTAGGGAGAAAAAGCACCCCAGAATTCTGCCCTCCACAGGGGGTGATCCTCCACCCAACAGGGGGAGTGCCACCCTCGTCTGGGCTCTCCTTGCTCTCCTAGACAGCGCAGCAGCATCAGGTCCCAGAATGCCCTGGGGCACAGAGTGCTCACCTTCCACTTCCTTCTGCTCCTGCTCCCCTTCCTCCTCCAGTTCCTGTTCCTTTTCCCCTTCTTGCTGTGGCTGTAGCCCTACATCCTCTGACATGTTCTGTGGAGATTCCTTGGGGCTTCTGGCTTCCTCCTCTGGGGGTGGGGTGCCGGGTACAGTCCCCGGGCCCGGGGAGTCCCGGGGAGATGTGCAGAGGGCAGGCATCTCGGCGGCAGCTGGAAGGGAGCTCCCAGAGGTCTCCAGGTGGTTCCGGTACTGCAGCCAGTCACAGCCAAACCGTTCCCGGAAGCTATTCATGAGCTCCAGCTCCCGCTGCTGCTGCAAGAACAACCCTGCGCCAGCGGGGGGCACGGAGCTGAGAGAACATGCCACCCCGGCACATCCCAGTCAACCCAGCAGCCTCCTACGAGCGCTCCTGTGTGTGAAACAGAGGGGTGTGTACAGGGCTGGGGCAGGGGCGGCTGCGGCTTCCCCCTAGTCCCAGAGCGTGCTCTGCAGAACGCTGCGGCCACACACAGTCCAGACCCACACACTGGATGCCACTTTGGGAGAGTCACATGCATGTAGCATAGTTAAGGTCCTAACGTGGCCTGCACGGAAGAGAGCTACTTACATTTGTTTAACCTGGTCTTCCCTGAACCTATCCAGCCACAATATCCCTTCATTAAATGACCTTTTGACACCCCCAAAATGAATGCTTCCTGAAAACTCTGGGAAATGCTGCCTAGGAACAGTTTCTTCTCTTTTTGTAAACTGAAAGGAAACAAAAAAGACCCAGAGCCCCTCTACGATGCTCCACTCTCCAAAAAAATGAAATTTCTCCCACTAGACCTGTGCAGTAACTTAGAGACTGGAGAGAGCTGAATGGGATGAGGAGGGAGCAGGGTAAGGCTGACTTACCAGCCGGGGAGGGATCCAGAGTCCGGGGCTCAGGGTCTGTGTCACTGGGTTCTGAGATGCTTGCCCGCCTTACACGGACTCGGCTCTGAGGTGGTGGAGATGACCTTCTGTGAAAATCAGGCCTCTACCCTGCCACCCAAGGCTGCCCACCCAGCTACCCAAAAGAAACCCAACCACAAGCAAGAAGAGCCTCACTACCCCAGCTCATCAACAGGCCAGAGCTCCGTGGTAAGACCCAACCCCAGGCACGAAGGACACCACTTACCTTAACCTTAGGGAGCGGGGGCTGGGCCACAATACCCCCTGAAGATAGGCTGTCACTCAGGTCGGGGCCACCCGAGGTTTCGGTGGTATTCCCTACTGGCCAGGGTTGAGGTGGGGCCACAGGGCCAAGCCCCAAGCATGCAGGGGTCTGGTGTGTGACAACCAAAGAAAGGAGAGGCTGGAACCAGGGGCACCGCTCTGTCCTGCCCACACTGGCCACCAGGTGGGGCCCTGCTTCCCACTGACAGAGACCCCGAGGCTGGCCACCCTCATCTCCCTAACCAGAACCTTCCCTTCAGGTCTTCCCCTAACAGTCCTGGTCCACAGGGCCCTTCCATCACACTGACCTGAAAATCCATCGGTGATAAGACCTTGCCATCAAGAAGGAACTGAGTAAAGACAAAGAGGAGAGGGGCTGGGAACCAGAAGTTAGTGTAATGGCTATGTCACTGGACTCCCATGTAGTCGACCGTGGTTCGCGTCCCGGACCCGGTGGCTTAAATCTCACACCGGGCGCATGTGCGTGCATGCCCAAGATCCCGAGAGGAGAATGGAGGAGAAGGGATTGTGGCATGACCATCCCCCCTAGGGGGTGATTTCTCGCTTTCTGTCTCTATGTCTCTCTCTGTCTTTCTGGCGAGCGCACATGCCCTATAGCGAAAAAAAAAAAAAAGAGGAGAGGGGCTGGGTGGAGGCCATCACA